ATGAATTTATGTTTAAACATAATATACAAGAATTTAGGTGATCTTATATTAATATCTTTATAATCGAACCAACCTTTCTCAATTCAAAATAATACCAAAAAAAAAAACAGATTTAATAAATGATTAAATCTGATGGAATCTGTGAGTTTCATTTAAACTTCATTAAGTTTTTCAGAGATGATTGGAAACTTGAAGTTGATTCTCTCCCTATGTATATAAATCGATTGAAAAGAGAAAGTAGTTCAAAGATGGAATCGATTTGGATTTTTCCCGACTAATACCGATACTCAACGAATGATATAATATATTAAGAGAAATTTATCAGTAAATGATGTCAGTTTGATCTCTGAAATAGTGAGTAAGAGTTCGTCCTCATGAACTATTCTTTCGAAGTTATTACAATGCTACTGAATTATTTATTTCTGGCAATATATTTATCAAACAATCAAACTGAAAAACTTTCAACCCCGAAATTTTCCTCATAGGTAGATTTTAAAACGATCTCAAAAATGTCAGCCTAAGACAATATATTGTTCTTGAGATATTAAATCTTGAAAGCACGGAAATTTCACACTTTTTCTTGTGACTGATGATTGTTTTTAGATATTCAATATTTCAAGAAAAACATATTCATTTTAGCCAAAATTTTCAAGACATTTTCAGATTGAAATTTCGTACTTTGATTTTCTAAAAATGACTTATGAAAGACTGCGCATGGGGAGGAAATCTTATAAATTTCAACTAGTCTCATTGGAGTCTACTCATAGGTAAAACATTAGTTCAATTGACAAAGTGACACTTGAAAACCTTTCTTCGTAAATGAAAGATTAAAAGTTCAAAACTCAATAAATATGTTGTTTTAAAGTCAATGATAGATCATTGTCTCTTAATATCAATATTAAATTATTTAGTCATTCAATAGTGATGCTCTTATATTTTGATAATAACATAATATAAAACATTTATTTTATATTTAAACTTACTTAGCAAGATTAAATTCTTCTTTACTAATACCACTTTTCAAAATTTTGCTAAATTCGTTCCAAACAGCCTTGACAACCTTATTTGTATCATTCTTGTTACACATGATATGAACACCAAATAAGCCTGATTCAGTATAATGAAGATTAAATGATGAAACCTTTAAATAAAAAGAAAAAAAGAATTATTTTTATTATTAAAAAAAAAAAAAAAGAAAAGAAAAGAAAAATAATAAATTAATAAACTAACTAAACAAGGTGCATCGGCGACAGCTTGTGCAGCACGTTGAAGTCTATTTGATCCAGCTGACCATTTTATATTTGGACCTTTACCCATAACTTCATTTAATAATGAACTTGTTAAAACACCCTTTTCATCTTTTGCACTAAAAATAACTTATAATTAATATGAAATTCGATAGTTTTTTTATTATTATAAAATACCTAAAGCCTTCACATGCTAATGCAATATGAACTAAACTTGATTGAGTATCATGTCGAAGTTCTCCTATAATAAATCTTATAATCATGTAAATATGATAAAAATAAATAAATAAATAAAACAAACCTCCTTTATATTTCGATGGTTCAGGTTCTGAATCAATTAATTTAATATTTCCAAAACCTGGTGTATAAACACAATCAAGTGGTGAAAAACGAAATTTATCCGCTAATTGAACAAGTGTTTGATGATTACAACCGGTACCAACTAAAGATAATCGATCCGGTGTATAATAATGCGAATGAAATGAATACATCTATTAAAATTTTTTTTGTGTTAACTCAAAATTTTTCAATATAAACAATCTTTTACTTGTCTATGTGATAATTTTTTCATCATTTCAGGACTAATTGATAATGATCGACTTAAACCACCTTTGAATGCTGCTTCATGAAGTAAATCATTTAATTCTTAAAACATACATATATATATATATATATTTAAGAAACAAGATTTTTAAATAAAAAACATATAATATACGTAATTCAGGTGAATGTAAATATATTTCATGATCAAGTTCTACTCGTTCATGTTCATCATGAACTTCATAGGGTTTAAACATTGGATAACAAACAACAGGAACCAAAAATTGAGCTCCGTGTGTTCTGTATGTGTTTTTTTTTTAAATGAGAAAATTAATTATGAATTTATTCTTAAATAAACAATTAAATACGTACAATTCATTTCGAAGACCTTCAACTGAATAAATCATTTGTTCTCGTGTTTGTGTACATCTATTTATTGATAAAAACATTTTCTTTTTCATCAATAAAATTTGTTTTATTATTTACTTGAAATTTGCACCTAAACGTTCCAAATTTTTTGTTAAACCAAGTCGACTAACATATTTCGTGCTCTAAATAATCAATAAGACAAATTATTTTACTTTATAGGAGAACTTTATGAAGAATTTCATTTTTTAGGAAACGATTTTAGATGAACTCATAACATTTTGAAGATTATATGAAATATTTCTATAGAACATATCAATAACAATGTTCTGCTTCAAAGTTTACTCCAATGACTTTTGACTGTAATTCTTGTTTCTCTATTAGAAAATCATTATTTTCATATGAATTCCATCATCATGTTCCAACTATTGAAAATACGAGATGTAACAGTCACTGTTATCATCGATCTAGACGAACTACGGCAGATACAAAGTGAAGTTAACAGATAAACTTTAAATTAAAAAGAAATTTAGTTTTCATAGTGAACGATAGAACAAATAATCATTGAACTAACCACAACTTAGTGTTTTGGAAAAGAGCTATTCGAAGTTCCGGCAAGTTCAGTTACAAACAAATGGACATATTTTCAGTGCAAACAGAATACTTTTCGAAGAGAGACGATAAAATTATGTGGCGACATTTTATTCTAAGAAAAGTTCATGTTGACATCTACCAAAACCTAGATATTTTGAAGATAGGATTAGAGTACGAAAAAGTCTTACCCTGTAGGACTCCGTCGATCTTCTAGACTGAAGTGGCTGCCGTTCCCCATCGGTAGCTAATATAGAATTACCTATAGGGACAGGCAATGGCGAAAGCTTTTCCTTCCGAAAAAAATTTCGAATTTATTCCAAAATTGTTTACAGTCTCGTGAAAAAATTGTGACAGAGAGGGAAATTTAGCGGCTTTTAGCTATTCTTCTGACAGATATTCATACAAAGACATTTTCTCCCAGATAAAATATCATAGAAAGTTGTATTATAAAATTTGATCAAGGTTTTTCATAAATTTTGAATCTAATTACTTTTGGTAAACCAGCCGCAAATTCGAACTTCGTGAGTCCGCATGCTTTTGATCAAAGTTTATAGGAAATCATTACTTTCGCAAAATGGGCCTTCGTGGCTGAAAAATAGTACTCCATTAACTGTTATCATGGTAGTAAGTAATGGTGCCGTTACCACTGCTCCAACTAGTGGACGATACATCCTCATTGTTTCATCTCTATTGCAGACTACTTAATAATTTGTATGATAAAGAATGCTGTTCTTCTTGTTCAATTACGCTCCGTTGCAAGTGATAATACTTGTATAGATTTCTATAACTCTCTAAATCACACTTCTTTCTAGTTTGAATATCAAACTTATTATGCATATTTTCTATGGTTTCTCTTGAAAAATGCTTTTTTCAATTCAATTAAACATTGACTAATTTTCTACTAATGCTGAAAAGGCCAAAGTTTTAATCAGAAATTTTGATATCATAATATCATCCACGACGCAAACAAAAATTACTGTGATTATATGTATCAATTTCTTTAACAGCATTGCGCTTTATATCTATCTACTTCTCTTCTTTCCTTATGATTCATTGTATCAGAGGAACGACGGAATTGTTCGTGACCTGTGCAATCGAATTTTGTACATATATTCTAAACACAGTTCATATATTTACTTTCAAGAGTTTAGGTCCATAGTAAATAAAACATCAGAAAAAAATTTTGTAAATTTAATGAGATTTTTATCTATTTTTCTGCATTTTTTTTGTTGTTGAAAGAAACATAATTTGTTCAGGAATACCTGTTTAGTTACGTATTGACAAGGAAGTTCATTATGATTAAAAGCAAAGAGCAAGGGTCGCGCGAAAAAGCAACTTTATGTGACCCTCAATATACTTCCGATTTCTATATTGAAATTGTGTAATGGTTGTTTTCATAATATTTCTTAAGCACTTTTTCTACATCTATAGCGCCCCGAAAGCTGCAAAAAATTTCATTTACTCTCAAAAGTAACCTCGTCCTCATGGACAGGGCACTCAGAACCAAGGAAAAAAATAAGCGAAACGAAAAAGCACAATTGCTACTTCCTTTCACAAACAAAAACTTCCCAATTTTTACAATTCCTACGCTGTGTTTTGAGTCTCTTTTAAGAGTCATATTATAAAAGAATATTGAGATTCCTAAACTTGTTTCCTATTTCGAATTGTTATGATTTTCTTTCTAAAGATGAAATATTCAATATAAAATTACCAAATTCGAAAAAACTCGAAGAAGTGTTGTGACACCTCGCATTTCATAAGGTTCATATTTTGCTCCGGCATCAACAACAGCTGCAACACGAAATATTGGTGAATTATTTTCCATTGAAGCCACGACCATTCCATTTGATAATTTTGTTACCTTTTAAAAATATTCATAGAATTATAAAAAAAAAACGAAAATCAAACATTGTCTTACATTAATACTTTCTTTTGGTAAATTAACCCGTTGTGGAACTCCAAATTGGCCTGTTTTCGTTTGAGGAACATTTCTTTGATTTACAGTTGAAGCAACAGCAGCAGACGATGATGCTCGACGCTTAAAATCAAAAGAACTTGTTTTTTCTTTATTGAATAAAAACTATAAAATTAACTAACTAGAGCATTAAAACTATATTTGCAAGTTGCCATCGACATGAATAAGAAGAAAAAAAAACGAATAAATAAATGAAGAATATATGTAAGCCATGAACAAACAATTTCGTCCTCGCTAAAATCACACAATAATTTTTATTGGTTAATAACACATAACCAATGATCATTTTAGTTAAAAATGTTTCAGGTGTCTGTAAGACATTTTTGTTGCTCTAGTCGCTTTTTTCAAATTTTATTTAATAATCAACATCATTTAAGACATTTATCATCTTATAAAAAGAAAATTCGTATGTTCAAGTTTTCTTTGTATTTTAATAAATTAAAATCTATTTATTTAAGTTCATTATTTGCAAAAAAAAATTCATCTATAATAAAAAACAGCAAAAAAAGAAGTCGAACGACAATCAATTCGTATAGAAAATAAAGAACCATTACAATCTTCATCATCAGATTCTGATGATAAATCTTTATCATTTGTTCCAACAAAACGATCAAAAAAATGTGTCTTAAGTTTTGATGAACGCGATCAAGATCAAAAAAGTAATTCATCAACGGAAAATATTAAAGAAACACCAACTAAAATTGTTACACAAATGAAAATTATTGATACGCAAGTTGAAATAAAAAATTAAAATGATAAAATAGTTACTCAAATTGAACAAATAACAACTCTTCCAACTGAACAGTCAACAATTGTTGCAATCAAACAAAAAAAAGTAATTCAACCATTTTTTTGTGAAAAAATTTTCAAATAAAGAAAATCATGTTTTATTACAGTGTTGCTGATCCTCAGTCATATAATCCTGGTAAAACAAATTATGATCCAATCAAGGATGCTTGTTGGAAACTCGGTGATAAGTAAATAAAAAGTTTCGTTTTATTCACATAGGACTGATATCGAATGGTGCAGCATAAATTACCCTCTTTGTTTTTTTTTGATTTTTTTCCTTTAGTGATCCCGTTGATTGAAACACTTCTAATCAAAAGATAGTGCTGAAAATTCTACATATAATGGTATACTTTATGTGATGAATACAAGTTCCTCCATTCTTTTTTGACTAAGCATATTCATACAGCTAAATAAAACAAAAAAACTAAATTTATTTAGTTTTCAAACTTTTTTTAGCGAATGTATTCTTGAAACTATAACCTAATGGACATAAACTACGCGAATTTGGAGATCAACGGATCTTGGAATAAATTCAGAAAAATGCTTTGCATAACTTTTTTGACTGGATTGATATGCATATGAAGTCTTGCAGCAGCTTACTGATATGTCCGGTTGTTTCTTAATGTATTGTTGCTTGTCAGCTCTTGTTCACACACATCTAACAATACCTTCGCTTTTACTAAGAATTTCATCTCATTCATGAACAGCATCCTGTCTACGTATGTCGTACTTAGCTCATACATGATCATTCTCACCATTGTAAATTAGCGAATGGATTGAGCTGGATGAAGCTATCGTTCAACAAAGTATACCATTTTGTGTAGAATTTCAAGCCCTACCTGTTGATTAAAGAAATGTTTCAATCGAGGAGATAATTACAGTGCATTATCATCAATATTGCTATTAATTGAAGAGACATCAGCTCGTTTAGAAATAATTCGTATATTATCAAATTTTTTTTTGTTCAGTTGTTAGTTTATCATCGAATGATTTAGTTCATTGTGTTTATTTATGTGTTAATAAACTTTCACCAGAATATGATGGAATTGAATTAGGTATTGGTGAAACAATAATTATGAAAGCTATTGCTGATAGTACTGGACGTACTGTTAAACAATTAAAATCATATTATAAATCGAAAGGAGATTTAGGTCTTGTTGCTGAGGTAATTTTCAATTTTATTTTCAGGCATCACGTTCAATACAACGTACAATGTTTAAACCAAAACCATTAACTGTTTCACATGTTTATAAAAAATTAAAAGAAATTGCACAACTAACTGGAAATAAAGTAAAATTTTTAATTGAATCAAAAACAAAACGATAATTTTATTTAAAAGAGTCAACAACGTAAAAGTGACAAAATAAAAAGTCTTCTAGTTTCTTGTCAATCTCATGAAAGTCGTTATCTTGTTCGATCATTAATTGGTAAAATTCGTATTGGTTTAGCTGAACAATCGATGCTTGTTGCATTGGCACATGCATGTATTTGTAATCAATATTCAAATTTAAAAGAAACATTATTAAAAGAACGTCTTGATAATGGTACACTTGTTGTTAAAGATGGTTTTTGTCAATGTCCATCATATGATATACTTGTTGATGTACTTGTTAATAAAGATGGAATTGATAAATTAAAAGATTTATGTAAAGCTACGTCTAGTATACCCAATGAAACCAATGTTAGCACATCCATCGAAAGGTATTGATGAAATATTAAAACGTTGTGGACAAAGTGAATTTGCTTGTGAATATAAATATGATGGAGAACGTGCACAAGTAAGAAAGAAAAAATAAAAAAGAATTTTCAACTGAAGATGGAAAAAATTATTTATTCAAGAAATTCAGAAAATAATACATAAAAATATCCAGATATTATTGAACGAATTCATAATGTATTTCAATCTCATGTGAATTCGTTAATTTTGGACGATGAATGTGTTGCTAATGATATTGAACAGAAAAAATGATTACCTTTTCAAACATTACCAAGGAGAAAATGAAAAGTAATTTTCTTATATCCGAAACAGACTTTTTTCAATGAAAACAATTGTTTTTAAAAATATTGAAGAGAATTGTAAATGAGTAGAGATTTTTTTCAAACGGTCTCTTAAATAAAGTTTTCATCGTAATGAAAGATAATAAATATGCATATTAAACATATTTTTGTATTTTATTGAATGAATTATATTATTTAAAAATTTTCTCATTGATAAGTTATAATAACACATTTCTTTATGATGAAATTCTTGTTTATATGCGCGTCAACTTAATGAATACATCTTTTATATAAGTACACAATGTATTACCAGTTCAACTCATCTTAAACTTATTCATATTCAACAAAGATTAAATATAGACAAGCGACTTGTATCATAGATAATTACAGCACATTTATTTAGATCTATATGTCAAATTTATTCGCTTTCATTTAGATTTACTCGTCTAAAAAAGATCACAAATAACTTTGTAAATATTGTATTTGATAGTGTAACTCTTTTGTGCGCCTACGATAGAGTTTCAATGGAATATGAACTCTTTATGCGAATTAGTCAAACTTTTTCATTACTTAAATGTTTTTCAGTGAGAAATGAAGCAATTCAAAGACGATTTAGTAATTGATAAAAACCTGCTGATATTTCATATAATTGAATAATTAAATATCCTCATCTTATATCAGTTAACATAATGTATGTACATATCGATTATGCTGGACAATTTCTAGTTGAAAAAAAGACAGATTTACCTTGTTTAACTCTATTGTCAGTCAATTATAATCAATTGAAAAGTGTAATCATGGATTTTACAAGAGATGTAACGCGATGTAATTGTTCTAATATCAAACAATTATTAACTATCGAACGAGCAGAGGCTTTTTTCAAAAACTTTTTATCAATACTTTCTTTTATTGTAAATTCAATTGTATATTGATCATTTCAATAAACAAATTATGTAAAAATCTGTTCTTATATTACGAGAAGAAAATAAAAAGAAATCACGAATATCAATTGTTTATCATCAAATATTCGATTGTAAAAATAATTTCAGTTAAAAAATTCTTCATACTATTCTCTTTATTATATTTATAAGTAAAATTTTAGTTGTATAACATTTTCTGAAAATGAATTTCACAAGGAAACAATCAAATGAGTTTTGTGAGAATTGTCGAAATCAAACATTGAAAACAGCAAAATTTCATCTAATTGAATCGATTCTCTGTATAAATGATTAGTTAAGAAGAAAATATTTTTTTTATCTCAATATTATTAATAATAATTCAATCAAATACAAAACAATCATTTGCTCTGCATAGTTTCCAATAAAATAAACGAAAGAGTAAAATATTGAAAGTATCCGACCAATTCATATATTAGTTCTTAGGTTATTTTATCGTTAATAATGTCGATAATGATTATTCATTTATCAGAATGATTAAATATGCCAGAAATCAATAGAATTTATAGTTCATTGTAATTTTATGCGTGAAGTTTTCAATTTATGTTTCTTATTCGAAAAAGCACATTATGCTTTTGCTTTTCCTTTGATCATTAGTAAAGGTGAATGTTTTTTGAAGGTTTATTGTTGTGTAATAACCAAAAGTGACATCTTTATATCTAAAAGATTTTGTTTGGGAAGTTTCTTCCAAAGATAGTGAAACCAGTGTTGACAACCAACCGATCAGTACATAGACTGATTAGTATTTAGCATTTCATTTGTTACTTCTATTGAAAATGCTTATAGAACTAAGACTAGTTGAAAAAATCTGTATATGTTTAATTTTTCTCTTGACTATTTGGTTTCGGATGTCATTTCTGAGTGATCATAAATCGAAATAGAATTATAATCGATAGGATTTTTTTCCCTATCTTTACAGGCACTAGCAAAAACGGTTAGACCAGACTAGATCAGATCAAATCGGCAGACTGACATCGGTTATTCTTCATGTAATTCATCGATTAATCATATATTTCATCTAATAAAAACAGTTATTTTCATGTATTTTTCATTGGTTATTTCCAATAGTTTTCTTTCTCTTAACGTCTACTGATCAACAGAAAACTTCATAAGACTAGACATTTTACACTAATTTTCCGTACTCGTCGTTAACTATCAATCAAATACAGATATTAATAATTACCTATAGATTTAATCTTCTTTCTGCGTTTAATTTCTTTTATCATCTATGACATTTATACTAGATACATTATATAAATTAGAAGAGAAACAGAAAGTCATGCTCAACTACAATATTAATCAATTATTCAGTTTCTTATGAGAATATAACTTCAATTAAAAGTGATTTGTTAAAATATGCGAATTATTTTGCTTTCTCTTTTTTTATTTAAATAATTTAACAATAAGTATAAATGTAAATTATTATTGAGATTTTATATAAATTTAATTAAAAATATGAAATAAATCAATACGATATTTGGATGAATTTCTTCAATAAATAAAGATCGACCATCAACACTCAATGTTAAATCATAAGGTTTACCGAAGTTCTAAATAGAATGAAATATTCAATTGAATTGATTATCTGAAGAGATAACTAACATCTGTTGACTTCCATATAGCCAGAAGACCATCAAATGGATTCGAATTAGCACTAAATGTATAACTAAGAGCTTCATTTTATTGATCTTTTCCATTAATTGCATAAAGATAACTTATTCAAAGAAAATTGATTTAATAATAAAGAAAAAAAATGCTCAACTAGCTCTATTTGGATCATATGTAATAGCATAAATTCTATTAATTAATGTATGCTCAATTATATATTGAACTTTTTCTTCATCAATATTATTATTAAGACAAACAATTCTTAAGGATACACCAACAATTGAGCCCTAATATTTGAGCCTCTTGCCCTCAGCCTTATCAGCATTCACCCTCAGTCAATTTGTACTCTCACTCTTTAACATACTGAGCAATGTATATAAAGTTTATCATAGATTCTGATCAAAGTTACATATGGACGGCTCAACTGTCGTGTCACCATTCTTAAGATTTATTTTACAGAAATCAGATTTGAAGAAGAAAAGTGTTTTTACCTTCGATTTTCTCTATTAGCTACACAAATCAGATCAAGTATTCGGATTATCTTATGTTCTGATTAAAGAAAGAAGGTCTGTCTACTCGATTAATTATAGTTTATACATCAGTGATATGTTTTCAGCAGTGTTCTCATTAAAGATATTCCTGTTAATGAAGTTTTTCCAATGAGATCATGTTCTTTTCATTAGGATGGAAGAAATAGCAATTAATCACTCACTCATCGAGTCACTTTTGTCCTTCTTGTTGTTATATTATGTTATCCATGTGAGAGAAAATTCATTTTCATATACGTATAAGAGATAGAACAAAAGAAAAATGAAGTCTTCTTCGCATAGATAATATCCTTTAACAGCACAACCACAAAAGTGACTAGCGGTGATTCGATGAGTAAATGAGTGATTGCTATTTCTTCCATCTCTATTATTTACACCTACCAAGAAAAATAACTACTATAGTAAGAGCAAGCCAAAATTACTGACGAAGGTATTCTATTTTCTCAGAGAGAAGCTTGGAAAAAGTGTTTCTTTATATATAGTGATAATAAAACTAATGTTTTATTTTTCTGTGATATTTAATCATTCTTCAACTAATTAGTATCATATTAATAAAATTTCAATAAGAACTGTTTGTTATTATATGTGACGATAAAATTAGATATTATTGTCTTCAATGTATATATCCTTTTTCTCTTTTTTTTTGGATGTCCGTATTCTCTTCTATCACATCCACGTCCATCCTTGAATCAGACTGACATTCAATAGCAGACGATGATAAATCTTCAGAAGATATTTGATCAGTTATTACTAAAAACTGAATCAATTCACTACTTTTAAATATTACAATCTACAAAATTGCGTCTTTTACTTATTTATTCATTCATTGTTATCCATTTTACTGTGCTCGAATAGCTACAATACAGTACTCCTCACAGAATAAAATAACGTATTATATTCGTTAATTATACTGAAATAGGCAAGATCATCGTTTAGATGACAAAAATATTAAGATCTTTCCTTATAAAAATGTTTATATAAGTAGCTGCTTGTCTCATGAGATGGAACTCGCCCATTTCACGTAGTTCTGATCAGAAAACAGTAAAAATATAAAGAGACAAACAAAAAGATTAATTTCAATACAAATAATACTTAAAAACATAACAACTTTAATGTTACTACTTGAGAAAATATCTATATGCCCATGTAGGATAATCTTAAATTATTTCAACATCATATTCACATTCAACTGATTTACATTCAGTTCATTTCCTATTTAAAAATTCTCTTTAAAACAAACTAAGTTTCAAAATATTGCTGAAAGTTGTATGTGAAAACGAAAATATTCATAGTATGCGCTTAGATATCCGGAAATGTTTGACCGCTTCCCCCTTGTGACGGCAACACCATCACTGATCTTATTATATTGATGTTTATTGTGTATGTGTGCATATTTGTTCTGTCTTTAATTTCGTTTTCTTTTTTTTTGCGCGCTACATTATTATTATTAATATTGTATCTATCGCACTCTTTGTTTTCATAAAATAATAAGACTAATAATTTAACTCTTTACTTCTCTTTCTTACTTGTTCGTTAAGTTACTTCTATCTAATTTCTTGTTTACTAATATATTTTGCATCTTGATTCATATTCGATAT